TCAGGATTGTCTAGTTTTCTGATTTCAGTATCCAAGACTTTATATTTGAGAGTTTAATGCTCTCAACAGATCACTTAAAGAAAAAACTTTGAACTTTTAGAGTGCTCATAACCATGTGCCTTACAATCTGCATTCAGGTGCTGCTCTCTGGCAAAACTTTGGTAAAAAATGACTTTTGTGTTTGTTAACATTGCAGCACAAAAAGAGATTTAAAATATTTGTAATTACATAAACATATATTCAATGCAATTAGTCTTTCTGTGAGTTAGTATTAGAAACAAATTAGAAATGCCAATTAAATGTAAGTTCAACATTGGCTACATCTTAGCTTTCAAGCTTGACATTGTGGTTTAGGTTCAGTAAAAGGCTATCCTTCAAATTAATGTTATTAACATGAATTTATTCATTTTAGAATTTGTATTTACTTCAAAACTTGCTCTGAAAATATATTTGTGTATGAGCATAAGCATAAGGATTTATACCTGATTGTGTTAGGATTCAGGCATGCGTAAGTTGGTAGAAATAGGACATCAGACATACACATCAAAGAGAGTCCATAAATCACAGGACTGAGGATAACAGAAAACTTTATCAAAGCAGGTGAGCATCAGCAAAATGGGAATTGGCATTTCCAAACACTCCAGACAGTTAATTGGAATACCTTAAGGCAACTATTGTTTCAAGATCTCTTGAAACCAGGTCCTCACAACTCTCCTGCTGTGAAAGGTCATCACCAAAAATAGGTTACAGCCACCTTGTGACCATCAGGATCCACACAAAGATTTTCTGAGGTCTCTACAAGGGGTAACAAACCACTTAATGAAGTATTAAAAATTGAGGTAAGATGAAAGGGACTCAGTTCCCTTAAAAAAACCCAGACTCTTTAATAGGTACCCTATTCTCTCATGGGAAGGTCAGCTCCGTACCAATCCCTTGCATGCTTATTCCCCATTACTCTGTGCAACATAGTTAAAATCTTTTCTATGGGATTACCAAGATTTGGTCCTTGAAGTCACTTGAACTCTGTGATTCTTCTCTTCAAGAGTTAAGGGACATAGTTAAAAGACTAAGGCAACAATTAGAGGGTATAGAATTTGATATTTCTTTAAGTTTCTACATTTTACATAAATATGACGAAAATTGCTATAGATTGTAGGAGGAATTTTTTTCCCTCCTAATATTTTAGAAATGCTATGAAGCATGGGAAATTCCAAGCATAAAATCAAGCTGCAGTTAATCATTCTTTGAACTTAGGAATTTCAATTCACAAATTTCAGCCGTATTATTTAAGATATTCAATACAGTGGGTATTTCTTTAGCTTTCAAATTTAAAGATACAAGACAGGCAAAAGCTCAATGCAATACAAATGATTCTATAAACTGGATCCATTATGCCAATGGTTCAAAGAATATGTGGTGATATTTTGAGAACTGAGTGAAAATTCCAAGTTGGTTTTTGCAAAGTACTCTGAGTTGCCCCCACACACCAAAGTAAAAATTAAAAAAAAAAATCATTTAACTAAAATCAAAATTGTTCTTTTGAAAATGTCATAATAAAAACAAAAATGTGTTTTCATTCCTATCCAATATTGAAATTAGATTCACCTGCTGATTCTCAATCTTCTACCTTTTCCTTCTAATTTAAAAAATGTGTTTTATAGAGATTAGAGCTTTATAAGAAATACCTGAAAATACATTAAATCTTTGAGTTGCAAATGAACTTGTTGAATGTAAAACCCTTGAAAGATTACAATTTTTACAGGAATTGAATATGTGATAAAACCTTAATGCAGATCACAGGTGTTATGCTGAATTGACAGGCAATATTCAAAATTAGTTACTCAGTGCTGATTGACTCAAGAACATGTGTGACTAGTATAAAGTGTAGTTATTTTTCTATTATCAATTCTGATGTGAGATAAATAATAATGCTCTCACATTGAATAATATAAAAGTTTATTTAGTTGAATTATAAAATATTTTAAATAGAAAATGGAATAAATTAAGATGAAAATATCTATCATCTCTCACCTACAAATAGCTTGTTTTATCTATATTTTCCAGCTATATGGAATATAAATATACAGATGAAAAGAATAAAAATACATGCAAATATACATTTGCTATAATTTATACATATATATTTCTCTGAATATATATGAACACTTGACAAAAAACTGAGTTGACATATTTCAATAGTATTTTATAATTATTTTTTCATATCATTTGAAATTCTTCAATTTTTTTTTCAAGTAACTGCCTTATATTCATTTGGTGAATTTGAATGCTATAATGAACATCATCCACTCTTTCATAAACAATATGGTGAGTGTGTGTATGTGTATGTTTTCTTCTGTTTATTTCTGAAATAAAAAGGCAAATATCAAGACCAAAACTATGATCATTTTTATGAATCCTGGGAGATGTTGAAAAATAAGATTCAGAAATTGATCTCCATAGATAGAACTGCTATCCCAAGCCTTTCAATAATGGAATTTAGGCTGAGCCTACACTGTGAAGCTATTTCATAATCTCATTTGCATAAAGAGGGCTGGGGTAGAAGGATTCACATGCTTTGCCTCATTTTTGGGTGGTGTTAACTGTAAAAATAAAATCATGGGGCATGCATCATTTTACAGTCACTTCAAGCTACACATACAGCATGCTGATACCTCTACCAAAATTAAATTTATTTTCCTTTATGACAATTTAAAAATAACTGTCAGAAATGTGTCCTCTTCCAAGTAATAAAAATAAGCTGTTGCTGAGTAGGTGCCGACTACATTTACTGACTGAAGCAGCCAAGTCCAATAATACCATTTTTTAGTATTGACACTTAAAATAAAATTTCTCCCAGAAACAGAGTTCCATAAATGATGGATGTGGAAATAGACACTGTCCAGGCAGTTGCTTTGTGGAAGTGGTGGTGTTATTTTCTGATGTGTTCCAAGTCATCTCAGATGGTGCGTGAAAATGAGATGCCAAGAGAGGCTTAAAAAAAGACACTGAGGACTAGCTTCAGAGTGTGAGCAAATCTTCAATTTCTGTGCTCAAAAGTTTTGAGAAAGCTAATCTAAAGTTAAATGTTTACTAGCATCTCTCTGATTATATTTTGCTGCAAAAAATGGAGTTTATTCTTATTTTATATGGGTTGAAAAGTGCACATAAAATAGAAAATGCTTTTGTATCACCATGTCCAGCAGTGATTTTGTTTTCATTTTCCATTTACCAGGACAGGAGAATGTTTACCAGGCATGAAGCGAGCATGGGGTGTGCTAGGAGGAAAAAAAAACCATTGATTTTAAAATGATAGTATTTGTGTGAAAACCAATAATTGTGTTTTTAACAAATGCTATTTATTAATCCATATGTAAAAAATATGCATTTTACATTAGTGCAGTAGACATACCTGTGAGAGAAATGTCATTGAATTACCAGCTTACTGATATCTGTAACAATTTAACGTTTAATTATGCATCATTATGCAGACCCTAAGACGTAGAATTAGGAATATTTCCTAGAGGGAGATGGAAATAACAATGCTGGACAGTTAAAGTTAGGCTCTTATGAAGTAATCAAAAACGTTGTGAGGTGAGGATAAAAATGGAAAGCTAATAAGCAGCATTTTTTTCAAGGAATTTTACCAAAAAATATTTTAATATTGTTGCAGCCTTTGAAATATTGTTTAAAATTTTAATTTCTGTGCTCTTTAAAATGGCTGCCAGTTTGTAAAGTGTTCCTTGTTTTCCAAATCCCATTCATTCATCCCTGTCTTAACTTTCATAAGCATTCATTTTACCTCTTTTCCTATGGTCATAGTCTCTGAGGTTGTGAT